TGTGAAATTTAAAGTGCTAATGCATCAGCAAATTTATTTTGTGTTGAAAGATGCAATAAAGAACCAATAAAATTTAACACTTTACTTCAAAAAGGAAAATCAAGATGTAAGTGTTAATCGATTTTATTCTAATAGAGAATATGTATGATTAATATCCATCTATTTTTTTATTTTTGCTCTAAATTTTTCATGTGTGCCAACCCACGTTTGATGAAACCCAAGTTTGATGAAACTTTCCAACCCACTTTTATTTAAAGGTGGGCTTCCTAAAGTCGACCGATTTTAAAAATTTCTAATTCGTAGATCAAGAAAGTTTTAATTCTTGAAAACTTGGGGCAATTGTTTTTTTTACTGTGGTTCTAGAATTGTTATTCACCGTTATCATTTTTAGGTTCTTATTTTTTGCTCAAAATTTTTCAATAATAAAATTATCAAGTATTTTACCATTTTACAATCCTGATTATATGTGCCAACTTTTGATGAAAATTGCCAACACACTTTAATTCATTTTTTTAGAGAAAGGCCCTTAGTCGACCGAATTTAAAATTTTCTATTTCGCAGTTCAACAAATAGATTTAATTCTTGAAAACTTGGTGCAAATTGGTTTTCTTTTTTACTATGGTTACCAAAGTTTAAATGAACAAAATTAACAAAAGTTACTATGGACAAAAATGGTCAAAATTTGCAAAGCAACTTTTTTAAAAGAGCTTTGGTGAAGTAGTACCATTTTTCGCTAAAAGCTCATGACTTCTCAATAATGTGAGATAATTTTGTTTCTAAAATTTTCAGGACAGTTAATACTACTATCTACTATCACCCTGTTCTGGCTTGACGTCAAGGTCTGGAACACCCTGTAGCTGTATAACGCAACTTACAAATAGTGAATCATAAGAAAATGTCAATATATTATAATACTGTAAATACTATTTGCTATTAAATGCTAATTAAAATTTAATTTATTGGTTATATTTTTTTTTAATATCGATTTTATGTATATAATTCATACCCCGTCTACATTGTTTTAATCTTCATTGAAAAATGATACATCTTTATCGGTTCTCTTTGAACAAGTTTTTAATATCGGATAGATTGCGGTATTTATAATTTCTCTGTATTATCTCGGTCTTATATACTGACTTAATTGATTTATCTGCAGAATCATTTATAAATGTCAACTTAAATATTTAGCTTTCTATATAAAGCAAAAAATAATACATGGAACGCATAAATCTCTTAGTAATACGAATTGGTTTTATATTGTGTTCCGATTTTTCATTAAGAGAGAATTGACAAAAAATCTGATACGTTTTGAAGACCACACAATTTTTACGATATGAAAAAATGTGATATTTTTAATAGTAGTGCAGTAAACGGAGCGTTTTAGGTCTGAATTTTTTTACGGTGCTCCGAATTGAATGAAATTTTGGAATTAGGTTCATCTTACCCTCAAGTTCAAAAGTGAAAACAATTCGGGTTGCGCCATCACCCCCGGGGGATGACACCCCCTCTCAATTGTGTAATTACATTTTTTCAAAATAACGTCGGAAATCGATAGAAGAACTAATTATAAGAAAAAAATGTCTTTATAGTTTTTCAAAAAAACTAATACTTTTCAAGTTACTGGCCACTAAGATTCATATATTTTTGGCGTTTTTCTTCGTTTTTTTGCAAAATTTCCTAAAATATACATTTTAACGAAAATCATGTAATGAACAAAATAATGTCAATAAAAATCTTAATAAATCGGTATTACATAAAGTGTTCTAGGAAAAATATTAAGCAAGATTTGAAAGAGCAAAGTTGTTTTTTATTTCGTTCAAGATTTAATTGTTGTATTTAAAGCCATCTAGTGTCGAGGTTTTACATTTTATGCATTTCGGTGAAATTGGGTTTTATAGTGCTCAACATAAGCTTTAAAATGAGTGCTGTTACAAGTTTTTTGCGTGTAAAATGAGTGAGCTATCATGCAAATAAGAAGCATATACGAAGTTTTTTCTTTTAAATCATATGGTTTAATGAGCGCCATTTCCACCAGAATTAAAGTAATTCACATTCCATCTAGAATTCACTTCATTATAGACATCTTGATGGATTCTAGCAGATTCACTACTTTAGTACAAACTATTTTCAGAAAACTCACGATTTTATAAAAACTTTTTTTTCCAATTTTTAAAAAAATCGAAATTATTTCATTATATCTCAAAAAAATAAAAGATACGTGTTAAAGCATATAGATAAAAATCAAAGGAATCTTTCTGGCTTATTTTTGTTATTTATTATTTTTCTTTCACACAAAAATTGACAGAGTTATGAATGTTTAAAGACTGCGCGGCCGCGCAAATTGGAAAAAAAAAAGTTTTTATAAAATCGTGAGTTTTCTGAAAATAGTTTGTACTAAAGTAGTGAATCTGCTAGAATCCATTAAGATGTCTATAATGAAGTGAATTCTAGATGGAATGTGAATTACTTTAATTCTGGTGGAAATGGCGCACATTAAACTATGTGATTTAAAAGAAAAAAACCTCGTATATGCTTCTTATTTGCACGATAGCTCACTCATTTTACACGCAAAAAACTTGTAACAGCACTCATTTTAAAGCTTATGTTGAGCACTAAAAATCAATTTCACCGAAATGCATAAAATATAAAACCTCGACACTAGATGGCTTTAAATACAATAATTAAATCTTGAACGAAATAAAAAACGACTTTGCTCTTTCAAATCTTGCTTAATATTTTTCCTAGAACACTTTATGTAATACCGATTTATTAAGATTTTTATTGAAATTATTTTGTTCATAACATGATTTTCGTTAAAATGTATATTTTAGGAGATATTTGCAAAAAAACGAAAAAAAAACACCAAAAATATATGAATATTTAGTGGCCAGTAACTTGAAAAGTATTAGTTTTTTTGAAAAACTATAAAAGACATTTTTTTCTTATAACTAGTTCTTCTATCGATTTCCGACGTTATTTTAAAAAAATGTAATTACACAATTGAGAGGGGGTGTCATCCCCCTGGGGGGTGATGGCGCAACCCGAATTGTTTTCACTTTTGAACTTGGTGGTAAGATGAACCTAATTCCAAAATTTCATTCAATTCGGAGCACAGTAAAAAAATTCAGAGGTTATACCCTTTTTTCCTCTCCGTTTACTGCACTAATAGAACATCAACATAGTTGGTTCAGAAATACACTTGTTTTATTTTCTGTACATTATTGACAAAAGTATTCTTGTGGAATTTGTTAGAGAAAAGCAGCACATTTTTTTATTTCTAGTAAAAGTATATTTTTGTAAGTTTTTTTTTTACTTAAAAATTATTCATCATAAATTCTGCTTAGTTCTTCGATGTTAATTATGCATTGCTCAATATTTTATTATTCTAAAATGTTTGTGGGAAA